GGAATACATAAAACTGGAAGGACGCTCCTGGAAACAGCCTTCTACCAGGAATATCCCTCGTTTTTAAAAATCACGCCCGATCGCCAGAGCTGCTGTGGCTCATGGCATGGATCCCTCTTAGCTTCCTCCTGTCCTGCGTTGCCTTCTCTTTTTTTTTTTTTGGAGTTGGTTTGGTGCCCTAAGAGCTGCAAAATGTGGGTGGTTGAGGCAAAGTGGCTTTTTTTGGAGCTGCTTCCACGAAATGGCTTCGTGCTGGTGGACGTGTTGGGCTTGTGTGTTGTGAGAGGCAGTTATTAATTTAAATGTTAGATCAAATGTCAGTGTCCTTTGATTCTCGTCACGCTGACTATATCCTCCAGAGCCTGCCTAAAGTCTTCGTCTTGTTGAAGGGTTCCTGTTAGTTTAACCATAAAGTAATAACCGTGTTTAATATTAAACTAACAATGTAGTTCAAATAAGCCGATGCATATTCATGTTTGGGAGGCAACTTCATTCCTCAGTAATGACTCATCAAATGTAAAATCGGGCATGTTGGCTTCTAATTAAAAAGGTTACTCGCAAAGCGAAAACCCAACTGGCTTTCACAATAAACTAATTGCTGGGATTTTGAAGCCTCAGCTGCTTGAGAAATATTTCTGCTTAAGCCTGGAGAATGGGAAGGTGACATTTGAAAGGCGCTCTGCTGTGTGAAAGCCTCAGCTGATTTCAAATTCCTCAAGCTCCTGCTGCATCTGTTGAGGGCAGAAGTGCTGAATCTTGGCTGCTAAAGCCTTAAACTGAATGACAGATGAGAGCTACTGTCGGGACGCTGTCCTTGGGTTGCGCAAGGCCAGCGAAGCTCGGTGCTGGTAAAAGCCCCGCGCAGTGTCAAATGTTCCGCCAGTTATTACTGTTTAGTTCCACAAAACTGAAGCGATTTGGTGTCGGAGCTGCTGAAAAGGATGTTGCCACTAGCAACTTCAAACACTAAATAACTGAGGGCTGTAATTCTGACCAACCGCGCTGGCAGACCCTGTATTTAGGGCTGACTAATCTGAAACAAGTAACCTAAAAGGCAGTTATTTATTGCATGCTGCTGTTGTTGTGGGAGGTGGGAAGCAGCAGGTCAGGACGCAAGCAGGGTTTGCTCGCGCCTGGCTGTCAGAGTCAATTATCTGAACCGCACGTAACGTGAGGTGCTGTTTTGGGAAGCAGGTCAGCAGCTGCCTAACCCTCGAAATATCCAACCCTCTGGGGAAAACACATACCTGGAACCCACCGGCTGCAGCCAGGGCGATGTGCTTCAGGTTGGGACTGGCAGGCTGAAACCTGCTGTCCTTGGGGAAGCGGTGAGGCTCTCTGCTCCCTGGTGCTCTGCAGGTTGGAGCTTTTTTGGGGTGATTTGAGACAAATTTGACTTGAGCAGTTGGATTCCTCTGCTCTCCTCCTTTTCTGAATACATCTCACATGGGCAGACCTGTAAACCAGGGGAGCTCCAGTAAGCCTGAAGCTTATGGGTCTGAAATGCTGCAGGTCCCAAGCTGTGCCCAGAAGGGGGTTAAGCAGATGTTCTTGGGGGCTAGGAAATTAATCTGGCATGAAATCTTCTCCAAGCACTCGTCCTAGCTCTGCATCTAACGCTTTTGTGACCTATATCTTGTGTCTCTAAGCCTAATAGCAGAAAACTCTTTAACTCCACAAGTAGTGCTGGAGCCGTGCCTCGGGTGAGTGACTTGGTGACTGTCGGTTGGCAACAACTGCATGCCAGAAACTCCCTTGGATTGACGACCTGATATTTGTTCTATAGGGGGGGAATAACCTGCTGCCTCTTTTTAGGAGTAAATTTGGTTTTCAGACTGTCTCCCTTTGAGGAAAACTGTGTTTGTGGCTGGCTTGGATGTGCTGGTGGGGGACTTGGGACTTCCGATGGTGAATAGCTCACTGGTTAACTGTTGCCTGACATGTGACTGTCACCATTTGGTTGGCAAGGAGCCCAGGCACATCTCTAGCCTGAGCAGCAGTGGCTCATGTTGGGGAGTAATAGGGGAAACACCAGCAGAGAAGCTGCATCATGAGATTTAACAACTTCCAAGTTCAAAAGCATTCATCAATTTGTACCAGATCTTCTGGCTGCAAGGGCACCTCAGGGCAGCAGAAGCTGACTGACGTGGCCTCTTAACTTGGTCACTGAGTGGTCTGTGACATGCTAAGGGTTGCACACTGCAGCCCTTTACCTTTACGTGTTGTTTATTCTAAACCAAACTCACAGAGGGGCAGTTTGACAGCTGCTGGGACTTGCTGAAGCTGCCATGCTCTGGTGTCCCCAGAACTGTCTTCTCGGGGCTGTATCAACTACGTGGGGGTGCTGGCCCCTCGGAAAGTTTTGAATTTTAGTGGTGCCTCTCTTGAACTAGGACAGCCTCTTGGGGCTGAGAAGCCCGGTCAGACTGGCTTCTAGTGATAGAACTTGTCCATTTGTATCCCAAGCTTTGGCTCTTTCAAGCTCTAGCCTTGCTTCGAGCGCTGGGTGAGCAGGCTGGCTAGCTGGGACTCGTGGGACACTGGGTGATTGCTAGAGAAACATGAAAGCAGGACGAGAGATGGGAAGAGCTTCTGGTGGAAGATGGGAACTTAATCTTCCTGGGATCTTTGAGCTCAGTTCACCTCAGATTGTAAGCTGGTGTCCAGATAGTTTATTTTATGGTCTCGGGGTTATTTCAGCCTCCTGCATGTTAAGTAATCAGGCAAAGTGATTCAGCTTTGCTCCAAATGAACAAAGCTTTGCAGGTACTGGTGGGTGTGCCAGGACTGAGCAGGCAGCATTAAAAAAAAAATCACTGGAGTTAACACCCGTAAGATGAAAGCTGCCTCTTGTGCTTGATAGCATGCCAAGTCCAGCATGAAGCTCTGACACACTGGAAATTGTTAGGATACACTTACTAGTTGGGACACGAACTTGCATACGCCTGGCTGGGGCTCTCGAGCAGTTCGCCAGATCTTGATTTGCCTCTAATGAATCTTGACAGGCAAAGGGGATGGCTAAAAGGAGTGAGCCGCCCCGATTAAATCAACAAGGACTGCTGCAGACTGTGCTGCCGCCTTGTATTTGGAGTCCTTTGGGGATCGGCAGGTCTTAGCTTGATGGCTGGAAATGCTGACTGTGACCGTAGGGGTATGAAGGGGGCAGCGACCACCCCAAAGAATGGGTTTGGATTACCTCTCCCCTTTGGTGGGGGGAAGGAAAGGAAGAGCAAAAACAGCTGTACTGGAAGCAGAAAGCTGTTGGTGTGCGGTAAGAGCCCTCTAATGCAGGGGAATAAGTAAAGGAGAGCCACTCCCAGCTGCTGGCAAGACTCTGGATGCTTTCCAGAGTGACCTATTTCTAATGGATTAGCTTTTTATTTCGCTGTCTTGTACTGGAGTGACCCATATAAGTGCCGGGAGTGAATCCTGCTGCTGTAACCAGGCTGCTCCAAGAATGCTTTCTTGCTTCTCATTGACTTTCTTTATATCTCAGGTGGTCCGTAGTCGCCTGGAGAAGAAAGGAATTGCAGTCCATAACGTAAGGTTGAATGGCTCAGCAGCTAGTCACGTCCTACACCAAGACAGCGGCTTGGGGTACAAAGACCTAGATCTCATCTTTGGTGTAGATCTGAAGACTGAAGATGTCTTCCAGCTTGTTAAAGATGTGGTCATGGACTGCCTTCTTGACTTCCTCCCAGAAGGTGTCAACAAAGACAAGATCACCCCCATGACTCTCAAGGAGGCCTACGTGCAGAAGCTTGTGAAGGTATGCAACGAAACCGACCGCTGGAGCCTCATCTCGCTCTCCAACAACAGTGGGAAGAATGTGGAACTCAAATTCGTGGATTCTCTCAGACGGCAGTTCGAGTTCAGTGTGGACTCCTTCCAGATCATCCTGGATTCGCTTCTGCTGTTTGGGGAGTGTTCAGAGAACCCCATGGCTGAGAACTTCCACCCCACGGTCACTGGGGAGAGCATGTATGGGGACTTTGAGGAGGCAATGGACCATCTCCGGAACAGGGTCATCGCCACGAGGAACCCGGAGGAGATCAGAGGTGGGGGGCTTCTGAAATACTGCAACCTCTTGGTGAGGGGGTTTAAGCCCAAATCGGAAGTGGATATGAAGGCACTACAGAGATACATGTGCTCCAGGTTTTTCATAGACTTCTCTGACATCGGTGAGCAGCAGAGGAAGCTGGAGTGCTACCTCCAGAGCCACTTTGTTGGGATGGAGAGCAAAAGATATGACTATTTGATGACCCTCCACAGGGTGGTCAATGAGAGCACAGTCTGCCTTATGGGACACGAAAGGAGGCAGACCCTGAACCTCATTGCCATGCTGGCTGTGAGAGTCCTGGCTGAGCAGAACATCATCCCCACGGTCACAAACGTTACCTGCTACTACCAGCCAGCTCCTTATGTCAGTGAAATAAACTTCAACTACTATGTCACCCACGTGCAGCCCTTCCTGCCTTGCAATCAGTCTTACCCAACGTGGCTTCCCTGTAACTGAGCCAGGACAAACTTCAGGGTCTGTCCTCCAAGGTACTTCCTTGCCTTGGGGAGTGGGGAGGTGGGTGGGGGGAGGAAAAAAAAAACAAGACCTTTCTAGAACTGCAACAAAAGGAAACTTCCTGGACTCTTGCTTGAGCGTCTTGTTCCTGGGGTTGTTGGAACGAGGCCTGTCTGCTGTACACTGTGATGGGAAGTGCAGTGTTATGGAAACTAGATGACTTGGACGTTTACAGGAAGACTCAATTGCTTATTGAATTCTGGAGGCCGTGGGGGAGGGTGGGGGTGTGTGAGGGGAGATTGTAGAATTACGCTAAGGTAGAGCTGCACTGCCCTGAAATGGATCTGAATTGGTTGTTTTTTAGTGCGGGAGGTGTTCTGGGTGTGCAGACTTGTGGTTTCTGAAGATAGAAGCCAGAGTGGCTAATTCCTTCGAAGGACCAAAGAATCCTGTTTAAGTGCCTGTAACAATATAAACACAACTGTACTGTAAACCTTATTTTTTTTTTGCAGGGGCTGACATCCCAAGAGCTTGAGTGGGGGTGTCCAAAGAGGAAAACGTTTCTGTTGCGGGGCCGGGGGTGGGAGGGCTGTAGGATCATTTCTAGTAACCTCGCTGAAGCAAGAATGAGACTGCAGGTTACATGTTGCTGAGGTTTTTTGGCATGGCTTGCTGCCTGTGAAGGACCAGCTGTAGCAAATAGCTGTCAAAGTGGAGTTGCATAAACAGGGGTGGGCTTTGGATGACTACCTGTAAATGCCTAAAACTGGGGGCAAAGGGTGGGGTGGGGGGGGAGTGCATGGTGGAAAATGCTGTGCAGAGCTTTATGGAGAAAAGGCAGCAGGGACCTACATATGAATTTACTCAAGCTCCCGAGTCTGCAGTGCCAAAATGTAATCATGTACATAAATGATGAGGCAGGAGATCTGTCCAGGAGCCTGCCCCAGGCTACTGTACCTAATCCTGTATTTTCTAGGGGAATTTGAAATGCTGCTTATTTTTTTTTTGGCATGCAAGTGTGGTTTTAATGCACAAAGCCAGAGGCCAGCTGGGTTATCTGGGAAGGTGAGGCTTGTCCTTTGAAGCACAAACCAACTAGTTTGCTAGTCAGTTATCTCCAGCTCTCGCTGTGATGGGGGCTGGAGCCAGTGTCCTCCTAGGAGATCGGCAGACCTCTTCCAGCCTCTCGCCTCCTGTGGCTGGAGATCTTCCCTCTGCCCTTGGGCAGGGCCTATCTTCAAAAGCAGCCTGTTTCCAGCTATGCCATTCCACATGTGAGCCACTGATAGCATTTGAAATTCATTCTCTAGCTAGAAATGGAGCTTGGGGTGGGAGGCAGGGGTTGTGCAAAAGTCAGTTGGCCTTAGGAGGAAAAAAAAGTATGTCTTCTCTAAACAAACCCTCTTGTGTCTTGAGGGTTTGGCTCTCGTAGTCAAATGTGGCTTTGAAGTTGTTGGGTGTCTAGAGCACAAACAGTCTTTCACTGAGGTGCCTGGATTGCTGTGCCCGTTCTCGTGAAACATCATCTCAGACTTAACTATGCATGGATGGAGAGGCGGGCGAGCAAGCAGGCACTCCCTAGGGATGCTGCTCTGGGAACACCGTGGATTCATGGTGCTTCCTCCGAGGCTGATGTACTTGAGTATCTTTAACTCGGGGGTGGTTTTTTTTGTTTTGTTTTTGTGACAAAACTGTAATAGCTGGGCAGATTGAATGCTCTAATAAAGACTAGATCCTTGGAAAGTGTATAGCCAGATTTCTACCTTTTTTGGGGTAGGGGCAATGTGGAGTGGGTGTAAGGGGTGGGGGGGAAGAGTGATTTGGGGGCTCTTGTGCTTAACATGAACTAACTGATTTGAAACTGGTCCAGCTTTGGTTCCTTATGCAGTCAGCGCTGCAGAAGTGTCACTAACGATGTAGTTATTACAGGTTTAACTGCCTTCCTGTGGAACAGCTTTGCCTTCACGGACAAGGCTGGCGTGTGGACTCTGCCACAGCCCAGTAACTCCCTGGTGCCCAGAGTCTAATCCCTGTGGTGGGAGCTTGAGATTTTTCCAGTGCAAGGTAAAACTGGTTTAAGGGCTGCTTTTGAGATCCTAAGTATGCCACCTTCATGGCTTTGAGGGAAGATTTTTTCTTGCATTTTAAACTTCAGATGAACATAGATGACATGTAGCATGCTTTTTTTTACAGGCTGCTTACCCTCTGCCCACAGACACATAGACGCACTAAATGGAGATTCCCTCCTTCCCTTTAAGATGTCAAAAAAAGATTCCCTACAGCCAACAGCTCGACAGGGCAACTTAACGTTGAGATTGCACTTTTGATTTACGGAGTGTGTGTGGTGGGACTCTTGTGAATGGGTTGAATCTGAATTTTTCTAGACCTTGCAGTGATACTGTGCTGCCTCCTGTGAGGGGGCAATTGGAAGATTCCAGTAGCTTGAATGGCACTTGATTTTGTTTTAAATGTTTTTTTCCTACACCTGTATCACTTGTCATGCAATGGGCTTGACATAGACTCACTAGATTCTTTAGAATCTGTTACAAATAAATACAGTGTATTCAAATTTGTTGGATTTATTTTTATTTGCTTGTCCATCTGGGTAGCGTGGTGTTGAGATGGCTGACCTGACTCTCAAGAACCAGGCTCTGAACCAACCGGTTGCCTCGAGGGGAGTGAGCAGAGATCCTGGTTCTGGACCTGGCCCAAGGCTACTTGCACCTGGGGCTGCTTGGTGCCTCAAACCGAAGGGGCTGCGGAGCCTGGGAAGCACGTAGCTGTTGGCAGGTCACTCCGGCGGCTGAGGGAGGTTTCTATTTATAACGGTGTTCTTTAGTGCTGTGCATCTTCCCTTTTCCTCGTGGCTCCTCAAGTTGCTGCTGGGGGAGGGTGGCCTGATGTGGCAGCCTGCTCGGTGTTGGTGGTGATCAGAGGTCCCTTGTCTTGGGGACAGTACTGGGAGACACTCACTGCTGCTGGCTTTCCACAGTGTTGTCATCATCTGCTGATGGTCACAAACAGCAAAAGGGGACTTGAGTAATTAAGACTTGCTTATCTTGTGTAGCTGACCCACCTGCAGAGGGGTTCCAATTGGAAAGGGGAGGGGGGGGTGAGAGGCTCTTAGAGGCTGATCTCCTCCAAAAAAAGCTTGGATCTGCTGCTGTTCAGGCCAGATTCCTGTGTGGTGGCTGGAAGCTGGCTGCCTGTAGCTGGGTGCAAGCTCCTCCAACTCTGGCTGCCCTCCAGCCTGAGATGAAGTTTCACTTCCCCTTGTCAAGCTACAGGCAGTTCTAGTTCCACTGTAACAACCGAGCTGGTGATGTGCCCAGTCCCTCTTCGGGACAAACTTGCTGGCTCTGCATCTCCAAATTTTTACAGTCCAGGGCCACGCTTCCCTCTGACAGCAGGTCTGAGTTTTTCTTGCTGGGCTAGCACTGTGTAAGACCGTCTCCCTGTTGCCTGCTGAAGTAGGACTCTGCTCTCGCAGAGCTGATTTCTCCCTGAACTGGTTGGCAGCGGGGTGGGATGCTTGTCTCCTGCTGGCACACAACTCAGCACGAAGCCCCTGCCTTCCCTGAGCGTCTCGTCATTGGGAACGGCTCTAAAATATCTGCTTAGTTGGTCAGCTGTCTTCTCGGTGCTGGTGGTCGGGTCCTGCCGATGGCTGTTGATGCTCTGGTGAATGAGCTGCCTCTGGATTTGTGACCCTGAGTGGAGCAGCAAAAGCCCTGACAGAGACGGCTTGTCATTGTTGGAGCGGATCAGACTATACAAAAGGATGTTCGTGGAAAGTACTGGTGGTGATCAGAAAGGAGCTATCAATGTTTACAACTGAGATTTGGATCCCTCTTTTGTTAATTGTCCAATAAAAAAAAACCCCAACCTGTATATTTTCTCACAGCCTGTAGTCTGTCATTACATTTTTCTCTTTGAACAGAGGGTGATGGGCAAGTTGGGATGTGCCTGAGTATCCGTTGGATGAGATTTGGACTCGTGTGATGGGTGTGTTGGTGTGTACTGGCTGCCCAAGTGCTTCTCTCAGCCTCAGCTCTAGAGCTTTGCTCCTAAGAAAGATGCATTTTGGGGTGGCTGTGGCTCTGCCCCAGCTATTCCCTATTTTTAGCCTGCTGGCGTTATGCCCACAGCAGACTGGTCTGGGTTATGCTGGTGGTGCCCAACTCCAGTGACTGAAGTTTGGGAGCAAAGCAGCCCATGCTGCAGGCTGTGTGTGAGCACGGTGGTGCGGAATGGTATGGCACGGCATGTGCCCTGCAGCACCTCTGCAAAAGGCTGGTGGGTGATCGATGCCTTGAGATGCATCCAAAAATATTCAGTGTCATTTCAGCTAAATCATTTCCGGGGTTTGCAATGCAGGGTTTGCATCTGCAGACTCTGCCTGCAGCAGCTTTTCTCCTGGAAGGACATCTGGCTGAGCTCCAAAATCACTGAAATGGGAGGAATTTGTCCTGAATCTCCAGAATGCAAGAAGCATCTTGCTCCAACCTTCCAGCTGTCCTTAATCTGTCGGCTCAGTGCCGAGGGTGGCACCATCTATGTGCAGGCGGGGAGCTAGACCCAGCGTGGCATTCAAATTGCATCTCAATCTCTCTAATTAGCCTCCCTCTTGTAGTACACCAGCGTTTCTACCCGGCTGCCCTCCTCCTCAGTAGCTGCTCGGGCAGCGCGGGTGTTAACTCTGCTATTTGAGATCATGCAGGATGAGAGAACAGTCTGTCTGTGCGGCTCCTCTTTCCATTTATAGCTGTGTTTAGGCGATCCAGCACACGGACCCTTGTGCTCTGACGCCTGGTGCCAAGCACGAGACAAATGCTTCATTGATATGTACGTACCGGGAGGGCAGTTTGCTCCGGGCAGAGCTGCGGCAGCGGGGCTGGGATGGAGCTGAGCTGCTGGAGGATGGCACAAACTCGGTCCCCTTTGCCACGGTCCTGAGGCCGGGGAGCAGCTGAGCCTCGGCAGGGTGAAATGTGCGGCGTGCAGTTTGTGCTCTGTCATTGAACCCTCCTATCTTATCTTCTGGCCCTGGCTGCTGGAGGTTCTGGTTTAGGCTTTTGCTATTACAAATAGGCTTTCAGCTTATGTTAGAGCTGGTTTGGAGGCGGAGGAAGGTTAAAAAGGCTTTTTTATCATCCTGTGCGTGGGGCATTTGCACTGTTCAGCTCCAAACGCAGTTTGCTGCAGACCTTTCAGCTCATGGCAGGGAGGCACAGTGGGCAGCTCCGCGAATCCCATGGGTTGATCACCTTCCGCCACCTCCAACTTCTCACATCCAGTCTCAAATCAGCAGCTCAGCCCTCCTGAGCCATCGCAAGAAGAGATCGGCTCGTGTGCCCCACCTAGGACAGCAGTTCAGCTCCCCCAAACCTCCGTGTGCTGCTGCAAAAGCCAGGGCTGGCTCACCAGGTGCCTGCTCTCCCCTGCTCCTTCTCTTCTAGCAGCCCCTGCTCCCTCGTCTGGGATGGGATCCCTGTGCCCAGCCTGCCCATTTCAGCTTGTAGAAACTTGATGGCTCTGACAAATTGGATTGAGATCATCTGCTGGCATCCTGAGTTCTTTAGGAGAATGACTGACAACTGTCGCAAAGTCATGTTTTCTTAGGAAAGGTGGAAAAAAAAAAAAAAAGAAAAAAAAGAAAAAATTCAATCTGCAGCCTTGAGCTGTTGCACAACTGACCTGTGAGATGCACCGGGGACCCCCTACCCCAACCCGCTGTGCGTCCCTTTGGTGATGCCACGGGGAAATAATGGCATTTCTGGGAGGGAAGGGAACGTGTAGGTGGGACCGTGTGGTTTTGGAGACAGGCGTTAGGCTGGAGCGGTGCCAGGGGAGGCGCAGGGCGGTGTGTAACACGTTATCGCTCTCCCCGTACAAGCGAGAACACGCATTTTCACTCCCAAGAGCTCACGGTGTTTTTCCAGGGTGTCATAGCTGAGTTTGGAAGGGCTCTCCCCACATCTCCTTCCCGGCCAGGAGGTCTCTCTTTGGTGATGGATGGGGACATCTCTCTTTGGGGTAGCTCTGCGTGGGGCTGGCCGTTTGGGGCTCAGCACTGGGGTGGTTGATCATTGCCCTCCCCTGCCACCACTGCGTATTTACTGTGCTTATCTTGCCACTAAACCCCAGTTTCAGCAAGAGCGGTGTCACCCTGCCTTCAAAGGAAAAGCCACCAAGCAGCGCACTCCCCGGGGTGTTTGTGTGCCCTATATTTTTTGCCTTGTAATCCAAGGAGGGGCTGGATGCACGACACCCCTCCAGCCCTCCTCCCTTCCCCCCCCCCCGGTAGCCACTGGGCCGGCCCAGCGTGGCTGGAATGGCTGATTACTTTAAGCATCCCTCTACTAATACGCAATTACAGGTCGCTTGGGCTTGAAATCCCAGTTAAATCCGCATGTCCGCAGCGTGACTCACCTAACTACTGCTCCCCTAATGAATCCTGGATGCATTCCTTAAAGACTGGACATAATGTTAACGTGCCACTTACTAACCACCCTTTTCAAATATCACCCGTGTAACGAGTTAAGCCAGTTTCTTCCCCTG